ATGTGGCGCCTCCTCGACCTCAGCTATATTTAGGCCGTCCTCGATCCAAGAGTGGTGGAGCTTCATCAACCTATAATATATATAGGTTAGCCTTGTTCCATTTCTCCACAATCTGAATCAACACCAGTCTAAGGCCTCTTCTTTGTTTTCACTAGCATTTTCTCTTTGTCTTTAGCATTTTCCAATTTTGATCTTGTTGGGGGTCTTGACAAAATTGGCTCTATTGGAGTCTTCCCTTTACTATACTTTTGGAGCTCACCCCCTATTATCTGGGAGATGAATGTTTTGGGCTTTCACCCTCGGACTCAGACTCGGACTCGGACTTGGAATCAGACTCAGACTTGGAATCAAACTCAAAATCAAACTCAGACTCGGACTTAGACACAGTCTTAGGCTCAGTCTTGGTCGCACTCTTGGTTTCAATCTTGGTCGGTCTTAGTCTTGGTCTTGATCTCGAATTAGATCTTGGAGTAGATCTCGGACTCGACTTTAGACTCTATCTTAGGTCCATCTTAGACTCCATCTCAACTCTATCTCAAACTCCATCTCGGGTCCATCTCAAGTCTATCTTGGACTCCACCTCGGACTCCTTCTCAGGTCCCATCTCGGACTTGTTTCTAACACTTTAATGTTAGAAACATTAAAGTGTCAGTCTTTCTTGTATCCCATTTTTAGTATTTAGCCTTTCCTAACATATCAAATATATCCTCAATCTTTGGTAAAAGGTATTTGTTCTACTTTGTATACTTGTTGAGCAACGAATAGTCTATTCACATGTGCATAGAGGCATTTTTCTTTTTCACAAATAACACCGACGCCCCATACAATGACTTGCTTAACCTAACATACCTTTTATCCACCAACTTCTTAAGTTGGCACTTGAGCTCCTCAAGTTCCTTTTCATTCAACTGATAAGAGGGACAAACCACTGCCTTATCACCCTCGATTAACTCAATTTTATGTTCTATTAGTCATGTGGAGGATAACTCTATCGGTAACTCCTCCGGCATAGTATCACGAAATTAGTTTAATACCTATTGTATCATTAAAGGTATATCATTTCCTATTTTTTTGTCACTCCTCATTAAGAGTAAGCACACAAAAATACTGCCTTGGTTTGTTTAGTGAATTGTCCTCTCATGAACACTAGGTTCAAGCAGGAGTCTTTAGCTTTACATTGCCCTACCTTTAAACCCTGGATTTTTCTCCTCAAGCATTCGCTAGTGCCATAAGGTTTTTACCTTATCCATGCAAGGCTACCACAAACTAATTGAACTAATCCATCCCGAAGATCACATCAAATCTCACTATATCTAACATAGTAAAATCCATATCCACTTTCCATGTTTCTATTTCGACTCTTGCTTGTTGAAGTACCTTATTGGTGCTTAACTACCTTAAATAAACTTTATAGTCTTTGGTTCACCCAGCCACTACACCATTAGTTTGGCTTGCTAGATTATGTTTGTAGCCATAAAACTTATCTAAAGCACCCATATTAATAAGAAACTTAACAAAGTTACCTTTGAGCTTCCCTTGGAAGGCTAGTAGATGTCACAAATGACTCTCTACCAAAGTTGCTTGTATAATGAGTAACTTTGAGTTAAGGACTGAATCATATACCTCAGTTTGGACTTCACTCAACTTGATGGCCATATTGACTTTGGACTTTTTCGGGTAAAGACATTCTCTCAAAAAGTGTCTTGCTTCACCATAATTAAAATGTATATTCTTTCCCATGTTGTTAGCAAATTTTATTTTCTTATCAATGGGTTTATCCCTTTTTACCTGACTTCCCCACATACTTGCTCTTTAGCCACTGGATTTACCTTCCCAAAATCTTAAGAACTTATTCTTAGAGAAACTTATTTTGAATTTCTTTTTGCCATATACCCCTTTTAATTTGGCTCCTTTGCTCAATGTAAACCCTAACTATATTGTGTTCCCTTTTTGCATGTTATCATTGAAATACACTTTAATAGCTACATCTAATGCTTCCTTATAGTTAGTTAAATTTCAACGCATCACCTCACCTCAAGCCCAAGCCTATAAACCTAAAGGCATGGAACACATCCATGTCACCCATGTCTGTAACAAGTATCCTTTTGGCTATAAACCCATTCAAGAGTAGTATTTGGAAGAACATAAGTTGTATTGTTCCTTGCCTTCATCATTCCAAGTGACCATTAGTCCTTCATTGGCCTTTGTTATTCTCCACAAAGACTTAGCATTATTTACTAAGTATAGTTTTGCATCCAAGCTTGATAACTGCAATGCTTTTATATTGTAAAACTAATCCTCCACCATCTTAGAGTTTTTCACTCCCTTGAAGACTGGTGGGGGCTTTGGTTTGTACTTGGGAACTGCTTAAGAAACTGATTCTACTTTAGTTTATTCGACCTTGTTCAGTTTTGACTCAATCCCTACCAAAGGGTCTATGTCTTCTTGTAAGGAACTAACTCCCTGAAGTGTTATTGGCCAAAAGTACAACCAAAATGACAAAGAGTTCATTGGATGAAATCGAGTTTGAGATCTAGTCCGAGACTGACTTTGAGACTAATTTTGAGACCGAGTCTGAGATCGAGTCCGAAACCAAATCCGAGACCAAGTTTGACACCAAGTCTAAAACCGAGTTTGAGATCGAGTCTGAGATCCAAGATCAGGTCCAAGACTGAGTCCAAGATCAAGTCCAAGATAGAGTCAAAGGTCAAGTCTGAGATCGAGTCTGAGATTAAGTCCGAAATCGAGTCTGAGGTCAAGTCCAAGATTGAGTCTGAGACCGAGTTCAAAACTAATACAGGTCATGGGGTGAAAGACCAAAGCACGTGTCTCCTAAGGGGGCTATAGAGGGTTCCAAAAGTACAGTAGAGATAGTGAGGTCCAAGAAGCAATCTTGAAGGAACTCTCCAGTAATGTTTCCAAACTAACTTGAGGTTGAAGTTGGGGCTTAGGGGCCTTGGGTGGGAGTGAGCATAGACTCAAGTGGTGCCGAAGGGGCCACCCAAGAAAGTGCTCAAGAGCAGCTCCCACTCCCAAAAGGGAAACTGACTATGGTGCTTCTGGCTTATGTGAAGTGGTGCGCCATTTAAGTACCATGTGGCTCATTGATCCTTGCCCTTTTTAGGGGCTTGGGCCTTTCCTGCGGGATGGAATTGAGGGAGTAGGGGTACCCATACTGGGCCGTTAGGCCACAGTGTTTCCCCCCGATTTCTTGAAGCAAGTTTTTCATCCAAAGCTTGGGATTTAAAGGGTCCCATGATCAACTCTTGTTATACCAAGGGATGTTAGGAACCTGGAGGTTTGGTGTGCTTGACTACTCATGCCTATAGGGACTGTAGCCAAACCTTAAGTCTAATTGAGAGAGAGTGTGGGAATCCATGGACGGATAAGTAATGCTTTGTTGCTCATGCAATAAATAGTTAAAACTAGGTAGGACCAAGTAAGAGCTAGTATAGTAGATAGAAACTTTGGTGAGGGAACTTAACTAAGGCCAAGGCTATAGTGGTTGGATAAACGAACTAATATAATAAATTGGAAAGGAAAAATTTGTAGGTTACAATTTGGTATCGAAGCTTTTTCCTTAGTTCTAGTGAAATATAAAGATGGATTGTTGAGAGATGGCTAAAGCAGGGTATAAAAAAACTAAGGCAGAGATGGAACCTCCTCCAGAACTAAAGCCTCCAATCGAACAAGAAGCTATGGATGAGGAATCCTTGCACAAGGAAGATTTAAGTAAGGAATCTTCCAAACAGAAGTCTAGTGGAGAGGTTCGATCATTCAAGACTTAATTAGATATTCTAGAAGGACAATTGGCACAAACCAATACCCTAGTTAAATAGGCTGAAGCAAGTGGGAACCATTCAAGAATATATGAATGCATTTATGATGAAGAGGATCTTTGTCACGGACATAGATGCATTCCATGCATTCATATTAGGCTTGCAGACCTAAACTTAAAGTGGGGTGATGCATTGGAACCTAACCAACTACAAGGAAATGTTAAATGTAATTATCAAGTTATATTCAATGATAATCTGCAAAAAGGGAACACAACAAAGTTGGGGTCCATGTTTAGTAAATGAACCAAACCAAAAGAGACATATGCCAAAGGGAAATTTAAAAAAAGTTTCTTTAAGAATGAGTCCTTGGGGTTTCGAAAAGTGTTAGTTTGCAAAGTTCTTCACATTTTTCAAAAGTACCTTGAATCTTTTGGCTTGGTTGACCACTTGAGTACCAAACCAATCATCTTGTTCACGGAGGACAAATGAGGTGAAGTGTGTGGTATTGTCTCTCCCTTGGGAACCTTGTACTATGTCTATGGCTACTAACATTAGTGTGCAATCCAAGATCATGGTGTTACAATCAAAGTTGCAGACCATGCTATCAAGAGAAATGTTGTTTGGACCGACAAGCACCACATTTGTCTTGTTGTTGTGCTTGACCACATCCTTGAAAGTTACGTCCACGTTTTGCTGCTTCCAAGTCAAGTGATTTCGAAACCAGTGACACAGGATCCTGTGATCCTGAGAGGCAGTGACACAAAGAGATTATATAAGCATAACTGAGAAGAGCAAGTCATATGATTCATGAGCTTACCGTAAGTGACAAGCTTCCACTGGGAGTTTCCACCATGGGTGGATGTCACCACTAGCACCCTGTCTTTAAAGCTGGAGTGTGGCTCAAGAATACGGACGAATTCCCAGTCATTGTGATGGAGACTTGATCGTCCGAGCTTGCGGATACAGACCAGAGGAGAGGATTGTCCTCAACTACTGGATCATAGTCTCCAACAGTTGCCTTGAAGATTTCATTTAGAGCAATGAAGTGTGAGGAAAGCATGCAGTAATTTATACCTTGACAATTCAAATTTTAATTTATTACACAAGAATATTTTTTAAGAACGCTAATACAGAATATTTATTAGTTAACCGTCTTCCCTTTTTGCCAACCTAAACACATTCGTTTTGTTGGGAAGTATATGAATTGATTACAAAAACTGGTGACATTGATCATACTGCAGCTGATTAAACATTTAGAAGTGTAATTATTCATATGAACATTCATGCATAGATCTAGCATCTTCTCATCTCATTTATGAACATAAAAGTCCCAGCTAAACATTGTTCACTGGATTGAATTTCCAGGTCTGCTGCTCAACATATCCTTGGTTTGCAGATGCCGGGCGAAGAACGAGAGGATGATATCACGCACTGTTCTGGTCCTGATCGTCGTTCTGCAGAGACCACTGCAAGTTCGTTCCATCCAGATTGATGGCCACATAGTCCGTGTTTCAAGCCTGGAATCGGTCCTCAGACCACACAAAACCGTAGTCAAGAGGATCAAATTGAGTCAAGAGCACCTGCCATGAAAGGTATCTTTTGTTTAGCTTGCAAAGTCCTTCAAAAGTTTTAGGACTTACCTTGTCTCCTGAGTGCTAGACCAGTCTTGTTTATTAGGATAAACGAGGTAAAGTACGTGGTATTGTCTCGGTCACCAGCAGGAACCTTGAACCATGCCTATTACAATAATACGAATGAGATCCAAGATGATAGTGTCAGACAAAGTCACAAACCATGCCGTTGAGAGAAATGTTGTTTGGACTAACAGCCACCACGTTTGTCTCGTCGTTGTGCATGATTGCATCCTTGAAAGTTACGTCCACATTTTGCTGCTTCCAAGTCAAGTAATTGCCAAACCAGTGGCACAGAATCCTGTACACATGCGAAGGCACTGTGCAGCACAACGAGAAAAATCAAAAGGAATTGACCAGAAGTCTAGAGGATTACCATAAGCAACGATCTTCCACCTAGAGTTTTCACCCTGGGAAGATGTCACCACTGGCACTCCGTCTTTAAAGCTGGACCTCGACGACGAAGTGTGGCTCAAAAACACGGACGAATTCCCAGTCTCTGTGACGAAGACTTGATCGTCCGAGCTTCCGGAAATAGACCAGAGGAGAGAATTGTTCTCGACTGCCGGATCATAATCTCCAACAGTAAGCTGGATCAGAGCTGGATAGAGAAAAATTCAAGTGTGAGACAAACTTGTCGTGATTTATATACCTTGGCAGTGCTCCGGGAAGTTGAGGATGACTGGGAGCGAAGAGCTTTCTTGGAGCCGTGGTTTATAAACACCAACGCGGAGAGGTCACTGTTATCCTCGCTCAGGAACTGCCATGACTCATCCCTGTACCAGAGCTGCACAAGAGATCAAAACCAAGATGCTAGATCTGGATTGACACAGATTGATACCTGGAAGGGATTGAGCGCATCCTTGAACTTGAGAACAATCTGGGTGCCTTGCTGAGTAATGCAGTAGCCAAGACAAGCAGTGGACTCGATGGTGTAGAGCTTTGGAACTGCTGTGAGAGGTTCCATTTTTAAGAGCTAGAGTAACTCTGAGATCTAGGCCCATTTTATACCACCACAACCTCGTGGAGCGCATGGGAATTCATCGAGGGATAAGGAGGCAAGTAGGATCGAACTAGTCACCTATCGGACTGCAGGCGATTGGCTAGGTTTACAGAGAATGCGAGGGAGGAGGGAGCGAAAAATAGAAGCAGCCGCCCAAGCAGCGGCGGCGGCAGCGAACTGTCGCTGGCGTCCCTGATCTGCGAAGGTGAGGCAAAATCTCGCTGCGATTGTTGGATGTGAATTGATCGGTCTTTCTTGCGAGAGAAATGTAGGCTTGCAGCGCCCTGGATTTTTCTTTTTCTTACGAGATTTGGACGCTTCTACGCTTGAGTCGGTCCAGCATCATGGTAAGTTTCTGGATCATATTTTATTCTATCTCCTCGTCTTCTCTTTCATTTGTTTCGGATGCTTGCAAAATCTATTTGCTTATCCTTGGTATAGCGTAATGTGCAGTTCAAAATCTACGAGCCACTGGAATACGAATTTGACGTCTGCGAAACTGGGAACAGGTATTTTCCTGCAAATTTTGCTCTTCATTGCTCTGGAAGCAACACTTTGAGGTTGCAGCATCGGAAACTTCCCGATGGCTGGATGGACTACGCTGCGAAACGAATAGCACAACTGTAAGCTAAGCTTCACGTTGATGGAAGTTTTTTATATCGTTGTGCAGGGGTGCAGCTAACTGTTCCAAGAACATATACTATCGCCAAAGCCATTGTTTTGGCCGCGCCAGTTTGAGACAGGTGGGAAACTTGGAAGACGGAGTTTGGAAAGGAGATAGATGCTCGCGATATTGTCATCTGAGACAATGAGGCACCAGTGACCACGGTAATTATCTAAAGCTTGCATCTTACTGAGAGCTCACAAAAGTTTATTTATTTATTTATTTTACATTTCACAGAAATACACAAAGCATATTGCCATGAAACGGAGTTTTCGGTTGATGCTCATGGAGTCGTAAGAAACCTGCTTGAGGTTGCAAAGGGATCTGGTACGTAGTAAATTCTAGATTCGGTGGATATGTATGGTTTTATGGTCTATATGGAATGATAGTCGATAGTCATAATGTTTTTGTTTTTTCTTAAATCTTCGATTTTTGCAGACACTGGAAATGAACGAAAGCTCATGGCTTCCATGGGAAAAGGAAACAAATGGGGAGTGCTCAGCTTCTTTTTCCCGTGGAAAGTCTTGTTATTTGCAAGAAGAAAAGTGGTAAGCGGTCCCTTATGTATACAACATGGCTGATAGTCAATTCCCTGCCACCACTGGATTGAATTTCCAGGCCTGCTGCGTATTAAATACTTGGTTTGCAGATGCCGGGCGAAGCACGAGAGGATGATACCACGCACTGTTCTGGTACTGATCGTCGTTCTGCAGAGCCCACTGCAAGTTGGTTCCATCCAGATTGATCGCAAGATGGTCCGTGAGTGAAGCCTGGAATCGGTTCTCAGACCACACGAAACCGTAGTCGAGAGGATCATATTGAGTCAAGAGCACCTGCCATGATCATCCAATTCGTTTAGTTTGCGAACTTCTTCAAGTTTTCAACAGTGTGCACTAGTTACCTTGTCTCCCGGCTTGGTTGACCCCTTGAGAGCAAGACCAGTCACCTTGTTTATGAGAACGAACGAGGTGAAGTACGTGGTATCATCTCTTCCTCCAGCGGGAACCTTGTACCATGTCTATATGTAATCAAATAGAATGAGATAAGATTACAAAGAACGACAAAAGTACAAACCATGCCGTCGAGAGGAACGTTGCTTGGATGAATAGCCACCACATTTGTCTCGTCGTTGTGCTTGATTGCATTCTTGAAAGTTACATCCACATTTTGCTGCTTCCAAGTCAAGTACTGCCCAACCCAGTGGCATAGAATCCTGTACTCTTGAGAAGGCTCTGTGCATCATCATCATATATATGAGCCACAACCGAGAAGAACAAATCATATGATTCATGAGCTTACCGTAAGTGACGAGCTTCCAGTGGGAGTTTCCATCGCTGTTGGATGTCACCACTGGCACCCCATCCTTGAAGCTAGCACTTGAGGAAGTGTGGCTCAGAAAAAATGACTTGTTTCCAGTCATGGTGATCAAGACTTGATTTTCGTGGCTCCCGGAAATACGCCACAGGAGATAATCGTCTTGGACTGCCGGATCATAGTCTCCAATAGTAGCCTTTTGCCATCAAAATTCCACATGATCAGCAACAGTGTATAGTATGAATACTGTTTTCTGTTTACCTTGCTTCGAGACGTTGAGTGTGCCTGGGACCGGAGAGCTTTCTTAGAGCCGTGGTTTACAAACACGAACGCGGAGTCCTGGTTCAGCAAGTTCCATGACTCATCCCTGTACCACAGCTGCACAAGAGTTTCCCATGATGATCGACAACCGGCAAAGTTTTCAAAGATTTTACCTGGAAGGGGTTGAGCGCGTCCTTGGACCTGAGAACAATCTGGGTGCCTTGCTGAGTAATGCAATAGCCAGGATAAGCAGCGGACTCGATGGTGTAGAACTTTGGAGCTGCTGTGAGAGCCATGTCTCTAAACTCTTAAGAAAAGACTAAAGCTTTTGAGAAGCCAAAGGGATGAGTGTGAAGTTATAGAGCTCTTTGAACGTATGCCAATTTATACAGTGGCAGCTTCTCTCGCATTATCCCATGTGTTTCACACTGCCTTCCACTTCCTTACACTTCTTACACTTCTTACACTGACTTTGTAGCGTTGGCTGAAAGGTTATCGATGGTGGCGTCCAGCTTATAAAGACCAACGCTGACAGATTTGTTTTGATAATTTATTGGCGAAGGATTGAACTGGTGACCTATCGGACTGCAGCCGCTGAGCTATACCTCCATTAACATTTTAATTAACTGAGCCTGCTTTAATCTGACAGCTGAGCATTGCTCCCCGAGCTAGGTTTACAGGGAGGAGCTCGCTTGATCCGTGCGTAGGAGGGGGCGAAAAATGGCGTGGAAGCAGCCGCCCAAGCAGCAGCGGCGGCAGCGAGCCTTGCTACTGTCGCTCCCACTCGCGATTGCGGCGCTGGTGTCCCTGATCTGCCTCCTGTTCCTGGCGCCCCAAGGGCTCTTCTTCTTGGAAGGTATCTCGCTGCGATTGTTGGATGTGGATCGATCGATCTTTGTTGCGGGAGAAATGTAGGCTTGCAGCGCCCAGGATTTTTCTTTTTCTTGCGAGATCGGGACGCTTCTACGCTTGATTCGTTCCAGCGTCAAGTCCAAAAATGCGTGGTAAGTTTTCTCGATCTTATATGTTCTTTCCTTTGTTTTCTTCGTTGGAGAGTAGTGATACTTCAATGCTTTCTTTTTACAGGAAAGAAATGGGCTTGGATTGACTGCAACCGTGAAGGATGCTTGCAAGATCGTGCTGAAATATCCGGAGGGAACAAATAGTACCTGGGTAAGTAACTAACAATATTTTTGCGTGATCGAAGCTTACAAGTTTACTCGGTACAGCGTAATGAGCAGTTCAAAATCTACGAGCCACTGGAATATGAATTTGACGTCTGCGAGACGCTGCTCCTGTGGGAACAGGTACTTTGCTGCAAATTTTGCTCTTGATTCAAATAACGCTTTTGAGTTTGCAGTATCGAAACGTCACAACGATATTGACTCGCGAGTATTTGGATGCACGTCCCGATGGCTGGATGGACTACGCTGCAAAACGAATAGCTCAACTGTAAGCTAAGCTTGATGTTGATGGAAGTTTTTAATCTAGTTGTGCAGGGGTGCAGCTAACTGTTCCAACCGAAGCCTGTGCGAAGAACATCTCGAGTTGATACTACCGCCAAAGCCACCGTTTTGGCCGCGCCAGTTTAGGACGTGTGCGGTGGTGGGAAACTCGGGAGACCTTTTAAAGACGGAGTTTGGAAAGGAGATAGATGCTCACGATATTGTCATCCGAGACAATGAGGCACCAGTGACCACGGTAATCACCTCACAAAGGTTGCGTACTACTGAGCTCGCAAAAGTTGCTTCCATTTCACAGAAATACGCAAAGCATGTTGGCATGAAACGGAGTTTTCGATTGATGGCTCGTGGAGTAGTAAGAAATCTGCTTGAGGTTGCAAAGGGATCTGGTACGTAGTAGAAGTCTATGAACAAAGTACTGGCTTAATGCAAAAGAGGATTTTTGCAGATGATGAAGTGTTGATTATCAAGAGTGTTATACATCGGGACTTCAACGCTAAAATAAAAGTAATAGGGCCTTTGACGCTTGCTATGGTGTTTGCTAACTGAGTTTTATCTTTTACAGCTTCTTCCGAATCCTGTCTACTTGTTCCAAGGTGTAGTTTTCCGTCGGGGAGCGAAAGGGACAGGCATTAAGTCTTTGGAGCTCGCCTTGTCAATGTGTGACTCGGTGGATATGTATGGTTTTACGGTGGATCCAGGCTACACGGAATGGTATTGACTCACACTTCTTCTAACTTATCATTGTACCATTCTTTTCATCTATAGGACTCGTTACTTTTCGGCTCCTCGCAAGGGACACAATCCACTACAAGGCAGAGCCTACTATCAACTGTTGGAATGCCTCGGGGTAAGAAGAACGACTATGGATTATCATTGACAGTCTCCATGTATGCAGACAATGAGGCTGCATTCTCCAATGCGAGAAGCCAGAAAGCAAGACTGGTCGGTCATTCCGACCCGAGCGACAGTAAACGCAGCCTACTACGCAGCAATGGGACACAAACGAAAGCCAGGCAAAGACCAGGGAGCTTTCAAGAACTGCAAAGTATGGGGAAGTTCATCTCGAAATGGACGCCTGTCAGGATCAAAAGACATGAGCGAGTCCCGCAAGAAC